TTACTTTCTTGACATCTGCCCCAAATTGTGTTTTTACCATGACAATAAAACCCTTGAGCAGTGCTGCTGTCTCTCCTTTACTAGACATAAGAAATGTCCACACCCCTCTGCTATAGTCATCCACTATGGTCAAAAAGTAGGGTGTCTTAGTGATAGACTCATCTCTGCATGGACCCCATATATCTACATGTAACAACTCAAAACAATAAGAAGTCTGAATGCTGCTAGAAGGAAAGGGCAATCTATGCTGTTTAGCCTTGAAGCACACTTCACAGTCCCTTACTTCTCTCTCTCCTGCTCCTTTGCAATATTTCTTAAGATGTGGTATCTGTTTTAGAGCTCCAAATGATGCATGGCCTAGTGTGTTATGCCAGTGAAGTAGTGGTGTAGGACCACTCATGTTTAGAGCAGCAGTCTCTTCTTTGCAATCTAGGATATACAACTTGTCCTTTAAAGCACCATGTCCAATCACTGTCCCTGTCATTGTGTGTTTGAGGAAGCATCCCTCTGAAGTGAACTCACATCTCAAGTTGGAATTCAAACACACTTGTGTGACTGACAGCAAGTTATATTTGAAGGTAGGGACCAAAAGAACCTCATGTAATATAAGCTTGTCTGAAATAACAACCTCTCCCACCTTAGTCACTTGTTTGCTTGTTCCATCTGGCATGTAAACTGTTATTGGTGAGTTCAGAGTAACAACATTATGCATGATGCCTTCATTAGTGCACATATGTTTACTGGCTCCAGTGTCAATCACCCATGCATTACCATTTATTTCATCAAACATGGACAAGGCATAATGTCTGTCTTCTCCTTCCTTATTTCCAGCAAAATTGACATATTGCTCCTCTTCTTTATAGAGATTGCTTCCTGTTACATCAAAGGTTCCTTTACTAAGCAGCTTTGCTACCTCTTGAGCCAAAGAAGTAATATCTGAGTTTGTACTATTTCTTACTCCTTGTCCCCTCACATTCCCTTCAGTCTGTACACTATTCACAACTCCTCTACCTTTCTTAAACCACTCAGGATATCCATGAAGCTTGAAGCAAGTAGACTTCTCATGGCCACTTCTCCCACAGTGATCACAAAATAGTTTGGCCTTTTCCTCCTTGGATAATCTTGGTGCTTCTCTTGCAGTCCTCTGATTGCTGAATTGTGGCCTCATGTTGTTTTCCTTCCCAAATCCACCATGTCTGGCCACCATTGCTATATTAGGATTGGTATCACCACAAGTAGAGTTCACTGCTCTTTGCCTCTCTGCAGATAGAATCATGGAGTATGCTTTACTAACAGTCGGTGAAGGATCCATTAATAGCACCTGATTTCTGACACTATCATAACTCTCATTCAACCCCATTAAGAACTGCATTAGTCTCCCTTGCATGTGTTGTTCCATTATCGATTTCCCGATATCACATTTGCACACCAACAGAGGCACCAAGCTACCTAACTCATCCCACATCTTCTTCAGTTTGTTGAAATACAACATAACAGGCTCATTACCCTGTTTATGATTGGCAATATCCCGCTTTAATTGAAAAATCAGTGGTCCATTACTCTCTCCAAATTGCTGAGCAATCTCTCCCATAACTCCTTCACAGTTTCAGCGTAAATGAAGCATTCAGCAATTTCCTTCGATATTGAGTTCAAAATCCACGAAATCACCATCCAATCCACCTTCTTCCATTTCACATAATTGACATCATTCACAGCCGGCACTTCAATTGTGCCATCAACAAACCCTAACTTAGTCTTCGCACCAAGCGCGATCAACATTGACCGCTTCCAAGCTAAGTAATTAGATCCATTGAGTTGATGCGAAACCAGTTGCAAACCTGGATTATCAGATGAGGTTAGAAAAAAAGGATTCTCGTCTCGATCGTCGGTGTTGCTTCCTGCTCGAGCGTTCAGCAAAGGCCAAGCTTCATTTTGCCGATTGGTCGCCATTTTAGATGAGATCGAGCTTCAAGGATCGATTTTGGCTCTGGATACCATGTAAAAAACCGAGCTAAGAGTCTAAGAAACAAAATATTTTCATTACGTACATCCAATCGTTTCAGTAGGCATAAGCCTTTTTATTTACATGCATTATGACTAAAACGACGTCGTGTGCTTAACTAGAATTAAACACTCTAAACGACGTCGTCTTGCTAAGACAAACATAATGATCGAAATACAAAAGAAAACAGAACAGAAAATGGCTGCATGGTCCTCTGCGCATGATCCAAAGTCACCTGCTTCTACAAATATTAACTAGCTGATTCATAGAAAATTATCCCAAAAAAATTATAATTTCAAGCCTTAACAAGTCGAACTGAGCTTACGAACGACTCGTTTTGTTTAACAGCACTAATACTGAGACCGATTACATACTTAGTATAATAAATTACTATATTTCTACTACACTTTAATTGATCTATAATTATTATTTAATAAGCTGTCCATAAGACCATAACTAACAGTTACGAAGATTTGGGTTGGCCCAGAAAACATATGACCAAGATTTCTAATTAGGCCTGGACTCAAACTCCTTTTGGACCAACCCATTTAAAATATCCACCACTTTTAGGCCAATATATATTGACAAATCAAAGTCCAACTATATAATCCCAAAAATCATTTCCACACACAGTGCACACACTAAACCCCTTTCCAATGGCGGTCTCCAAGCTCTCCCTCCTCAACAGCCTCACCAAAACCCTAGCCAAACCCGGCCGTCTCCGGCGCAACGCTCCTCCGCCGTCCTTCCTCCCGATCCGCTTCCTTAGCTTCTCCACGCCCGAGGAAGCCGCCGCCGAACGCCGCAAGCGCAAGCGGCGCCTCCGCGTCGAGCCGCCCTTCGCCGCCTTCCGCCAGCAGCAGCCGCTGTCCCGCCCGCCCACATCCCCGGCGGTGCCGCAGAACCCCAACTCCCCCAAGATCCCCGAGCCGCCCTCCGTCCTCTCCGACAACCGCCTCAATCTCCACAACCGCATCCTCAAGCTCATCCGCGAGAACGACCTCGAGGAGGCGGCGCTTTTCACGCGCCACTCGGTCTACTCCAACTGCCGCCCGACCATCTACACCTGCAACTCGGTCTTGGCCGCCCAGCTCCGGCAGGGCAGGTACCCCGATCTCCTCTCCCTCCACCGATTCATCACCCAGGCCGGCATCGCCGCCAACGTGGTGACGTACAACATCCTCTTCTCCCTATATCTCGATTGCCGGAAAACGGATCTAGCCCTAGAGCTGTACAAGCAGCTGATCAACGAGGCCCCCTTTAACCCCTCCTCCACCACCTACCGCATTCTGATCAAAGGATTGGTGGATAACGAGCTGGTCGAGAAAGCCGTCGAGATCAAGGACGACATGGAGGCGAAGAATTTCAAACCCGACCCCACGATCTATTCCTACCTGATGTCTGGGCACGCGAAGAACTCCAACGCAGAAGGAATTTTCGAGTTGTATGATGAGTTGAAGAAGAAATTGGGAACGGACAAGGTTTTAGACGGTATCATTTATGGGAACCTAATGAAAGGGCATTTCTTGAAAGGTAACGAAACAGAGGCCATGGAAGTGTATGAAACAGCTGTAGGCGAGGGCTCGCCTGTTAAGATGAGTCCCTTCGCTTACAATTACATCCTCGAAGCCCTTAGCAAGAACGGTAAATTGAACGAGGCGCTAAATTTGTTCGAGAAGATGAAGAACGAGCATGCTCCCCCCAAAACCCTAACCGTGAACTTAGGCAGCTACAACATTGTGGTTGATGGATACTGTTCGGAGAGTAAATTCGACCTTGCCATTGAAGTTTTTAACAGCATGGGGGAAAAAAGGTGCGAGCCTGATGCTCTGTCTTACAATGTCTTGATCGACCAGTTGTGCAATAATGACAGGCTTGTTGAGGCCGAAGAACTCTACAGAGGCATGTCAGATAAAAAGGTGAGCCCGGATGAGTACACTTTTGTCACCTTAATGGACACATGTTTTAAAGAAAACAGGCCGGATGATGCAGCCCAATACTTCAAAACCATGGTTGAGTCCAAACTGAAGCCCAATCTGGCTGTCTACAACCGGTTGGTCGAGGGTTTGGTGAGAGTAGGGAAAATCGACGAGGCCAAGTCGTTTTTCGACTTGATGGTGCCAAAATTAAGAATGAATGACGATTCGTACAAGTTCATCATGAATGCCCTTTTTGAAAATGGGAAACACGATGATGTCATGGGAATTGTGAGTAGAATGTTGAGGGAAGACCCGTGTGACTTTACAGAGGAGGTTGAGGAATTTGTTCGGGAGGGAATGAGGAAGCAAGGGAGAGAGGATGAGGTGGCGGCTATGAAGGCGGAGGTCGAGCGGGAGAAGGCTGAGTCAGCTGCCCGTGTGGCAGCTGAGGCTGAGCGGGCAAAGGAGAGCGCAAGGGCAGCTGTTGCGGCCTTGCTGCCCTCGAAACTTTTGGGAGATGAAAATAGTAGTGATGATAAGGATGGCAGTGAAGAAGGAAGGGAGTCGAATGGGGTTGATGATGGGAGTGAAGTGCAAAATATTGATTTGGAAGAGGAGGTGGTGGCTTGATTGCTCGATTGTTGGACCGAAGGGTAAATTAGTTTTATCTCACTTCGCCTCGATTGAGCGATGTTTTCATGTGATTTGAGATGTATGGGATGGTATTTTATGGTGTAATGGCCAAGGTGTGATTGGTATTGGTAGTGGAGAATCATGTGTTGCTAATTGATGTGTACTTTTTAGCTTCTAATAATGTTATGAACTGTTGGGTTTGGAGTAATTTGATGGTTTTGCATTGCTTATAGTTTCATGTGGTTTGCAACTTGTTGAGCTCATGTTACTTTTATGTTGCATGAGATTATGCGTGTAGAAATGAGAATCTGGCTTTTGAATTACAAAGGCCAGCCTCTTTAAGATTTGCAGAGTAAATCTCTTTTCCTCCTAAAAAAAGGTTGCACCTTTAGAAATTCCTTCAATTTGCCCTAATTCCCACAAAATTTGCTTAAAGAAACCACAAGGAACCCAAAGAAACTGCAGCCTGTTTAAACATATCCACTTGATCTGTCACCCAAATGCATAAAATCAGTACCATTTCATTGCTGTTAAAACCCATATCAGAAATCCCAAATTACAATAAAAACATACATTAATATATTCGAGTTAAAAACACAAACACAAAAACCACAACATAAATTTAAAACAAAAATAACCCGCCCATCTTTCGAACTCACATCCTCAACTACAAAGATTCGGGATGCATACACCGGAATCCGAGCCCTGTTGCTCTTTCCAAATCCGACCCGTGACCCTGAGCTTGAGTTCTTTTCGGTCCCCACCAGAGAAAAAGAGGGCCATATTCCTCTGTATAATCAGCCCATCATGGCTATCACGGACCTTACGGTGACTGTCCCGAATGCTTCTTGGGGTTCCTTCCCAGACGAGCTTCCTTCCATTTCCACCCACCTCAAGACTGTAGGTATATTCGCGCGACTCGTTTTCATCCCCCATGAAACGGAGGAAGGCCATGTAAACTGGGGCCATCCCAAGCTGAAAGGCCTCGAAATGGAGGCAGAAATACTGCCCAAAACAGTGGAATACCTAACAAAAAATTCGGGGTATTTAGTAGAAACTCAGAAAAGAGATTTTTTTTTTTTAAAAAAGAAACCCTTTTTGAAGGAATTGAAGGGATAATTGCAAGAGCTACCCATGAGATCTGGCCTAATTACAGAAAAGGAAAGGTAACTTATGAATTTGCAATTTGCATATACCATAGTACCACCCTTGAGTGCTTTGCATCCATCTTTATACCTTGCATGTGTTACTGGAACTAATGGGAAGTTTTTTATGTTGTTGAATATTTCAGAATTCAAAAACTTCCATCAACATTAAAAATAACCCCAAGTTTTCAGCTTGTGTTACTAGATACTGCAAATAGTCAGCTAACCACCACATGACATGATGGGGGGGGG